GTTGCTTTCTGACCCGATGAAAAAATCAAGAAAAATGCAGCTGCCCGCGGCCAAAGCCAGCGATCCAAGACCCAAAAAATGCTGGTTCCTAACGCTTCATCCCCCTGTCAGCGCATGTCGAATGGTTACCTGCAGGTGTCACCCCTTGCCAGTGCCTAACGTTGCTTTCTGACCCGAGAATAAAATCAAGAAAAATGCAGCTGCCCGCGGCCAAAGCCACGCGATCCAAGACCCCAAAAATGCTGGCTCCTAACGCTTCATCCCCCTGTCAGCGCGTGTCGAATGGTTACCTGTGTCACCCCTTGCCAGTGCCTAACGTTGCTTTCTGACCCGAGAATAAAATCAAGAAAAATGCAGCTGCCCGCGGCCAAAGCCAGCGATCCAAGACCCAAAAAATGCTGGCTCCTAACGCTTCATCCCCCTGTCAGCGCGTGTCGAATGGTTACCTGTGTCACCCCTTGCCAGTGCCTAACGTTGCTTTCTGACCCGAGAATAAAAATCAAGAAAAATGCAGCTGCCCGCGGCCAAAGCCAGCGATCCAAGACCCAAAAGATGCTGGCTCCTAACGCTTCATCCCCCTGTCAGCGCGTGTCGAATGGTTACCTGTGTCACCCCTTGCCATTGCCTAACGTTGCTATCTGACCCTTTTAAAAAATCAAGAAAAATGCAGCTGCCCGCGGCCAAAGCCAGCGATCCAAGACCCAAAAAATGCTGGCTCCTAACGCTTCATCCCCCTGTCAGCGCGTGTCGAATGGTTACCTGTGTCACCCCTTGCCAGTGCCTAACGTTGCTTTCTGACCCGAGAATAAAATCAAGAAAAATGCAGCTGCCCGCGGCCAAAGCCACGCGATCCAAGACCCAAAAAATGCTGGCTCCTAACGCTTCATCCCCCTGTCAGCGCGTGTCGAATGGTTACCTGTGTCAACCCTTGCCAGTGCCTAACGTCGCTTTCTGACCCGAGAATAAATCAAGAAATGCAGCGCCCCGCGCCAAAGCCCCATCGATCCAATTACCCAATACCAAAAAATGTCTTGCTCCTACTTTTGGTGCCAAAAAAAGTTAGTAACTGGGTTATAACCTAGGGTTATATCCCAGTTACTAAGTCATAACTTCTTAGCTAACTTTTTGTAACTTTTTTTTGCTATAAAAAAAGTGTCTTTAAAAGTGATCAAATTTTGATCTTTTTGATGATTTTGAGTGTTTGCTGTTTGAAGCGTTTTCAACTGCTCAAAAAAATGCCAAATGGAGCGGTTTTCAAACCTCTAAAAGCTATTTTTGTTGGAACAGCCGTTTTCAGCATGTCAAACACTATAATTAATCACGTGTTAAAACCCAAACTGTGAATGAAGATGTGTTCATGTCCACTAGAGAGGATGTATTGCTTGAAGAAGTGTCCAGGTGTTCACTTTACCTTGGCTAAATGCTGCAGAGTCCCTTTGACAAAACTCAATTTTTGCAGGATATCCTAGATGTCTTCCACGTAATTGCAATATACATCAACATGCCCATACCTGCCAACAAATGCATGCAGTATTCAAAACAGAAATGCAGCATACCCTTCTTCATAAGTGCAATCTTCCTTTGGAGCAACGCAGTGTGTTTTGCAGAACAATATCCCTATGAAATATCAAATGTTCCTTTAAAAGATACACCATGCCCTTTGGAGGAGTACAGTGTGCATTTAACAAAATTTCCTTTGAAAGGGGTCCTGGCCTAGAGACCTCCAAGATTAATTTCGACCGAGTTTTTGCCTTTGTATGAAAAACTCGGTCGAAATTAATCTTGGGGGCTTCGCGCGCATAAGGAACATTCTTGGCCAGGACCTCTTTCACCTTGGGGGCCCGTTTGAAAGGAAATCTTGTTATTTCCACATGTCTAACCTTCCTTTCAAAGGAGCAGTATCCCTTTTAGAAAAGCCAATATTGCTGCACAATATGCTGTATTTTTGACATAGAGCATCCCTTTCAAAAGTGCAATATGTTTTGAAATGTGAGATTTTTTCAGAATGTTTTTTCGCTCCTTACAACAGAGCATTGTCCTTTATGGCAACACAATCTTCCTTTGAAAAAGCAGCATCCGTGGAAACCTGGATTACTGTTCATTGATATATGTATCTAATCTACTCTAATCTAATCCAATTCAATCCAATCCAATCCAGAGATATCTCATCTATATAATCCAATCCAATCCAATCAAACCCAAACAAATCCAATCCAATCCAGTCCAATCCAATCATATCCAATCCAATCCAATCTATCTAACCTAGCCAAATCAAATCTAATCCAATCCAATCCTATCCAATTCAATCCAATCCAATCAAATCCAATCTATCTAATCTAATCTAATCCAATCTAATCCAATCCAAGCCAATCCAATCTAATCTAATGTAATCTAATCTAATCTAATTCCAATCCAACCCAATCCAATCCAATCTAACCTAATCTAATCTAATTTTAATCCAATCCAATCCAGTCCAATCCAACCCAACCCATCCCAATCCATTCCAATCCAATCCAATCTATCTAATCTAATCTAATCGAATTCCAATCCAACCCAATCCAATCTAACCTACTCTAATCTAACCTTATCTAATGTAATTTCAATCCAATCCAACCCAATCTAATCTAATCTAATTCCAATCCAATCCAATCTTATTGAAGTGCTGTAAAGGCCTCTGTGGTATATGGGTGGGATATATTGAGATATACTAGGGGAAACTGGGGTTTACTTGGGGATACTACGGTATACCATGGTATACTGACCGTATACCATGGTATACTGACCGTATACCATGGTATCTGACCGGATACCATGGTATTACTGACCGTAATACCATGGTATACTGGGGGTTATACTGGTGGTATACTGGTGGTATACTGGTGGTATACTGGTGGTATACTGGTGGTATACTGGTGGCACACTGGTGGTATACTGGTACACTCCCTAATCCAATCCAATCCAATCTAATCTAATCTAATCTGATCCAATCCAATCCAATCCAACCCAACCCAATCCAATCCAACAACCCCATCCAATCCAATCCAATCAAATCCAATCCAATCCAACCTAATCTAAACTAATCTAAGCTAATCTAATCCAATCTAATCTAATCTAATCTAATTCCAATCCAATCCAATCCAATCCAATCCAGTCTAATTCCAATCCAACAAAACCAAATCCAATCCAATCCAATCTAACCTAACCTAATCTAATCCAACCCAACCCAATCTAATCCAACCCACTCAAATCCAATCTATCTAATCTAATCTAATCCAATCCAATCCAGTCAAGTCCAATCTATCTAATCTAATCTAATCCAATCCAATCCAGTCCAAACCAACCCAATCCAATCCAATCCAAGCCAAGCCAATCCAATCTATCTAATCTAATCTAATCCAATCCAGTCCCTCACCCAATCCAATCCAATCCAAAGCAAGCCAAGCCAATCCAATCTATCTAATCTAATCTAATCCAATCTAATCTAATTCAATCCCTCAGTCCCTCACCCAAGCCTGTAAAGACCTCTGTGGTATATGGGGACGTCTCAAAATGAGGCGCGCCTTTTTTGACCCCCAAAACACTACTAAAAAAAAAAGGCTCGCCTCATTTTGAGACATTCCCATATGGGTGGGATATATTGGGATGTACTAGAGGAAACTGGGGTTTATAGTCAGCAATGTCAATATCAAAAAACGTACTCATTGGCTGCCTTTGTTTTTTCATAGTCTTCTGGCATGTTTTCAAAAATAAGTCAAAAACAAAATTGCTTAATCCATGCCCCAAGCCCCTAACCTTCCCCCAAGGATACCTGTTTTTCCTTGGTTTTTACATGGTTTCTAATGGAACCAGAGACCTAAAGCAAGCAGAAACAACCACAAACAAATTTGCAATGCCTAAGGGGGGAAAAGTGGCAAAGAGTTAGATCCTGCCACTTTTTTTGCCAGTCCCTCAAAATAACAACGAACCAAGAAAGCAAAACACCAAGAAACCAAAAAAAACAAAAAAAAAACAAGATTGCACACCCCAAGGGGAGGGGGTCAGATGCAGTTTGTTGGGTCTTTTTTTTGTTTCTTGTTTTTTTTTTTGTCTTTGTAAAAAGAAAAGAAACTGCAAAGGTGAGATTGCAAAGAGCAAACTAACCCATTGCAGGTGCATAAAGCACCTAAAAAGGCGCGCTCCCACAGTGGCCTGTTCTGTTTAAAAACCAGTTGCACATTCCCTCAGCCATGGAAGCGATGAAAACCGCGATTTTTTCTTAAAAAACAACTTCGAAGCGGCTCAACCGCTATAATTAGAAAAACTATTGTTTTCGATACACTAAAAACAAGTGTTTTTTTTCAATTTTTCTAAGTTATAAAAATGTGCTAAAATTGTTGATATTTTCTTCACTTCATAACTTTTCATAACTTCTTGTATAACTTTAGTTATAACCAGTTATAACATGAACTTGGCACCAAAGTAACGCTTCATCCCCCTGTCAGCGCGTGTCGAATGGTTACCTGTGTCACCCCTTGCCAGTGCCTAACGTTGCTTTCTGACCCGAGAATAAAATCAAGAAAAATGCAGCTGCCCGCGGCCAAAGCCAGCGATCCAAGACCCAAAAAATGCTGGCTCCTAACGCTTCATCCCCCTGTCAGCGCGTGTCGAATGGTTACCTGTGTCACCCCTTGCCAGTGCCTAACGTTGCTTTCTGACCCGAGAATAAAATCAAGAAAAATGCAGCTGCCCGCGGCCAAAGCCAGTCTGTCTGTCTGTCTGTCTGTCTGTCTCTGTCTCCGGCGCAGTCTTCTCCGGCGCGCTCCCCCAGCATCCGGCTGAGTTCGGCGGATAATAATAATATATTCATAACACCTTATACATCATAATGGTACACAAATGCAGAAAGTCAGCGGGTCCAATAGCCAGCTATATTTGTGCAGTGAGAGGTATGGGTTTTGCCATCAGAGTCAGAAATCTGGAGTCAGTGCGTTTGTGGACCTTGTCGCGCTTTGTGACCACAGGCAACACACATTTTTCTTTCCTCTTTGTGCTTTGGGCCTCAACTCATGGTCGCTTGGAATCAAACTGAGCACTCATAGTTCCATGCAAAGGTGGAAATAGAAGTGGGGGCCTGCTGGCAATGTTGCTTGACAGATGGCATACTCTGGCCACTCGATTGATTTCGGGATGCTTACTACTGCTTTGGGGTGAAACGACCCGGCAGAGCCACATTGGCAGTCTTTGACGTGTTTGACCATGTTTGAACCTAGGAACAAATCACTGAGAAACTGTCGAAGGAAGCTGTGAAATTGCAATGCTTGGCGACTCTCCGAGCCCTTCCAAGAAGCAACTCAGTCTTCAGCACCTGGGCATCAAACAGCAGACCATAGGTGACCCTATCTAGTTGACCCCCGTCCGGGGTACCTAAATAGAATGGGGGGGCTGAAGCCCCTTTTAAAATAAAAAAAAATAAAAATAAAATGGGTCAGACCCCTGCATTTTATTTTGTGGGTGCATTTTATTTTTTGAGGTGCCTAATCCATCAAGTTAACCGACAGAGATAGCATCATAGCAAAGATGCACAACTGTGAACGGCCTGATCATTTTGTGAAACGTTCCAGCGGATTCACGAACGCTAATAAAATGATAACGAAAACGATAACTTTTGGCATCAAAAATGGTTCGTGTGAGACACTGTTTTTTTTCCCCTTTCCTCTCCCTTCCCTTTCCTTTTTCCTGTCTCTTCCTTTTCCTTCTCCTTTCCTTTTTCCTCTCCTTTTTCCTTTCCTTTTTCCTTTCCTTTTTCGTTTCCTTTTCCATTATTTGGACATTAACTTCGAAAATGGGTTGGCCCCCCTCATTTTCTATTGCCTTCCTAAACAAGATTAAACAAGACTAAACATGGTTAAAACCAATCAAATAAGGAAACAATGTAAAGGACTAAACAAGACTAAACAAGACTAAACATGGTTAAAACCAATCAAATAAGGAAACAATGTAAAGGACTAAACAAGACTAAACAAGACTAAACATGGTTAAAACCAATCAAATAAGGAAACAATGTAAAGGACTAAACAAGACTAAACAAGACTAAACATGGTTAAAACCAATCAAATAAGGAAACAATGTAAAGGACTAAACAAGACTAAACATGGTTAAAACCAATCAAAGAAGGAAACAAGACAAAACAAGATCAACCCAAAAGAAAATGCCGGAGCCCGAGGTCCAACAGTTGCATAACGTATGTCCACCAGTGGCCAGGTGGAGGGTGCCGACGTCATTTTCTTTTTGTACCTGTCCATTGTATTTTGCTTGGGTTTTCCTATCTTAACTTATGCCCTCTCATTTTATTGGCATTTTCTCCTTAGGCCCCTGCATTTTATTTTATTTTTTTAGGTGCCTCACCCCCCCCCCGGCAACAGACGAGGGTTCTAGTTGAACGGTGCCTGTCTGTGGTTTTGATTGTTTTTGTGGTGCAGGGAAACAAACGATTTGGAATGATTTTGATCCGAAATTGCCTTGCAATTTGCCAAGGATACACTGGTGCAGTCTTTGCGGAAATGACGTGGACTGGTGTCGAGGGGACTGCAATACGATTGTATTCATTGACGAGAATCTGCGCGCTGGAGAACTCTGATCATCCCTGATCCATTGGTCGACATGATGGGCAGCCCTAAATATGGCTTGATTGTGCTTGATTTAAGTACTTGTAGCCAAAATGGGCATGCAAGTCGGAAAGTCTGCAAACATGGGGAGATATACTGATAAAGGATGCCAATGGCGAAAAGGACGGCCAATGATGCAAAACATATTGCCACCTTAGAATCTTTAGTGATCCAGATATCTGGACAAATTACCTGACCAAACTCGGTGTAGCTGTTGCAGCTCATGTGCCCCGTGGGAATGCACAATTGACCGGGTGACCGGTTGCAGACTGGAGATCTGAACACGATGGGATTGTGGAATTTCGATGGTTGACATGTTCAGGCAGATTCTAATTAGGATTATAGATAAGATGCTTCGTCCGAGATTTGTCACTTTTGAAGAGGTTCTTACATTCTTACAGAAGGTGACCAGCCACAGGTTGCCTGCATTTTAGCGAGCACAGTGATGGAGGCGCGCTTCCTTGCGTTGGGTGCAAAGCTGGCAGTCCTTGCCCCTGATGAATTTGAAGGAACACCTTTGGCAGTTCAGATAGGTATCACCAGATTCAGGCAAAGACTCTTTTCAGATGGTTGCGAGATCTTGGATGAGATTTTTGCTTAAGATCCCGTGAAGATGAACTTGGTGGCACTGAAGTCTTATCCGCCTGATGCTGAACAATATCAAGATGGTCTCTGTCACTGACAACAATGATTTGGCACTGGAGGAGCTGCTAAAAAGCCCTTTGACTCCCAATGTTGGAGACGAACATGACACAACACCTTTCTGGCGAGGAGAGGACATGTTGAAAGCCCACAGCTTTTGCTTGAAGCAGGTGCTGAAAAAGATGCATGAGACAGAGCCTGAAATGATGACGCCATTGCGCAGGCCATCTTGACATCATTTGCTATCTGGTGGAGGTTGGCACTGACGCAGATCAGCACGCAGACAGCGGTGCAACACTGTTATTTATGGTAGCTGGACATGGCTTCGCTATCTAGTAGAAGTTGGTGCCCACGAAGATGAATCAAACTAAGAGTGATAATGCAACGCTGTCGTTGATTGCAGCACCGGAAGGCCATCTTGACGTGGTTGGTTCATTATTTGGTGAAAGTTGGCGCCTGCAAAGATGAGACAACCACGAATAGTGTGCCTCAGCCGTTCGCTTCATGACCGAAAGAGGCGTCGATACCCGAGCATCAATGGGCAATGGAGCAGCTCCTTTCGACCTGGCATCTCAACGTGGTCAAGTTTGTTCCTTTCCTGGCAGAGTTACCGAATCGCCCCCAGCTAAAATCCAAAGGATCCGTTGAGAGCCAGGCACCCTGGGAAAAAAAAAAGCGTTCCAGCAGCTGGCTTAACATAATATGGCCATTCACAGCTTTTCACGCTTACAACTTTCAAGCATCCACATGCATATCCCAGCCAAGTAGCTTTCGCGCCTTCCCCCCTGGCCTCAAGTTTGGATGCAGCGCGATGGTAGTCGCCCTGCGATGTATTGACCACATTGATAAAAAAAAATGTTTGGGCCGCCCAAACTGCTGATTTGCACAGACATTTAAAAAGGATTGCGCAGATTTTTCCACGTGACCCTGTCATTTGTGGTCCCATTCTCTTGGCTTTGCTGCAAGCTGGTGGGTATCAAGTATCAAGCTAGAGCCTTTGCAAATAAGGTCATGGCATACTATGAATATATGACACCAATAATACACGTATATATAATATTAACTCACATTAGTACATATATTATATTATATTATATATTAATATACGTATAAATAATCATACTGTGTATATATATATATAATTATATATATATATATAATACGCATCTTTAGTTGTGTATATACGACCATTGTGTAATTTGGTTGCATCCCTCAGCAATCGATATTTTGATGTCAGCACACTTGATGCTCACAGCATGAGCTTGAGACATTGAGACCGATCACATTTTGGGGCCGCCAACGGTCCTTCGTAGAACCCGCAACATGGATGCAATGGATGCTATTTGTGGCGTGCTGGGGAGGCGAGTCTCTTCCTTGTAGCACAAGTATTCCGGGAACGGCGCCTGTGTACAGTGATAAAACTTGAAACATTTGAAACTCAAACCTGTGGTAGGCTTCTGATGAAGGAAATCTCCAAAGAGGATGTGCTCATCATCTCTGAAGAAGGTGTGTCAGGCTATGTAAGCAAGGCATCATCCTCAGTGGCAACTGTCAACTTCCTCCTTGGCTTGGCATAGAGCCCATGTGACAAGGTCGTGTTGCCACGTTTGGGAGACCTGGTCTTTGAAGGTGAGGAGTGTGACACAGAGGAGGCCAGGGGAGGCCAATCTCTGTGCTGCGTCACGCTGCGTCGCCGTCAGATCAGGCCTCTCGAGCAGCTGCGCTGAGAGTTTGCTTGGAGGTTTTCGCATCTACCAGTGACCTGGCAAGGGACCTCAGATGGTAAGCATAGCTCAAACACCTAAACACTCTAAGATTGAAAGTGTTTGCACTTGTTTTGTTATTTCCCAGATCTGGAATCTCAGTGTCAGGCAAGAGAAGGGCCCGGTGCCAAGTTGTCTTGGGAAGAATGAGACTATTTCATGCTATTTCCAACGGTCACAGAAACATGATGTGGAGAAACAAGTGTCCAACAGCATGTGGAAGGTTGAAAGCAGCCAAGAAACCACCTCCCAAACCATCAGCCTGGCACTTTGTGGCGTTTCTTTGTCAATTGATGTTTTCAAAGGCTGGAATCACCGTATCAGTTTCAATCATTTTGAGTTACCTAATGATCTAATGAACGCATTTCAAGGCGAATGGTCAATATCAAGGCAGGAGAGATTTGGGAGAATAGAAATTGAACATAGTGCCACAAGCCCAAGCATCGATGGTGCCAGGTTGGGCAATAGATCTAGAAGAACAAGATCCAGTTGTACAGGCACGGAACGTGGTCATGTATTGAGTCGCACGTTTACAAAGTGTTTGGAAAGATTACAGTCGATTCTACTACTTGCTTCTTATGATGTTGTACAATGTGTTTTATTCTCTTTGAAACTGTTGAAACATCTGACATGCTCCAATGCACTGAGACCGCAGCGACCAAGTTAAATTGTTTTTCAAAAAATCTCAAAGATCTAAGCCGGAAACCTTGATGACCAGAGAAACCCCTTGATGGAGGAGCCAGCCGCAAAACGCGCCAGAACGGAAGTGCCACTGCCCATTGGAAGGATTGACGTGCCAAGGCAAGCTCAGCGCCATTTTGTCAAGCGGTCCAGATTGTAAATGGAAAGGTTGTGGACCACACTGACCACACTGGAGGTTGTGGAAAAGTTATGGCATGGATAAAGGGTATTCACACTTATTCATACTTATTCACTAAGTATCGATGAAGGTTATCGACCAGCAACACGCACTATTTCCTGCCTGCCTGCATGCACTTGCATTGATGAGGCCAAAGGCAAAGCCAAAGATCAAAGCAAAGCCCAAGCCGTCAGTTTTGGACCATGTGACTCGCCTGCAAGCTTCCCAGCCACTAGCGTTGATCTGTAGTGAGATTGAAACACACGATCAAAGATAGAGTTTGTTTTAATCTGTTTTTAGATATCGTAATGTTTCAAACACTTTCCGAGGATGGCACGGAATATAGCAGCAGCAAATCGTTGAGGGCCCAGCACATGCTTCTTTGATGGCAACACAGCGCAGCGCATATGCGCAGCCCCAGGCAGCTTCATGCGATCATCAGCAAGATGATTGGTCACTCAGCCACCAAGGCCTTGGAGCACTGTTCGCCTGGAAATGATGTGTGTGTGCATATATATATATATATTATATATACATGCACCAGGCCCTGCCACCCCCCCCCTCCCCCCACCCCCCATGGGATGGGTCCCATATACTGGCCCCATATGAGATCTTCCCCCTCCCCCCTGTGGTGTGGTGGCGGTGTGGCGCTGTCCCCCTCCCCCCCTGTGGTGTGGTGGGGGTGTGGTATGGTATGTTGGGTATGTATGGTGTGTATGGTCGGTCTGGTATGGCATGTTTGGAAAGTATGGTATGTTTGGTAGGTATGGTATGTATGGCATGAGTGGTTGGTATTGTATGGATGGTAGGTATGGTATGTAAGTCTGTTGGGTATGGTATGTTTGATATGACAGTATGTATGGTCTGTATGGTATGTATGATTACTATGATGGTATGGCATATTTCCTATGTAAGGTATGTATGGTATGTATGGCATGTATGTTTGCTATTGTATGTATCGTAGGTGTGGTAATTACATTTCATATGTATGGTATGTATGGTGTGTATGATAGATATGATAGGTATGATAGGTATGATAGGTATGATAGGTATGGTATGCATGGCATCATTGATTGATTGTTCGGTACGGTATATGTTAAACACAGGTGGTGTTGTGAGAGTACACAGGTAGTAAATAGGAAGTAGATACAGTAGATACATAGCACATGTATATATGACTATAGGTAGCACGTAGGTACTTTCAAGGAGTATATGTGCTACGTAGGTCGCCTAAAAGGTAGCATGTAGCTAGTAAATGCGAGGCTGGTAGTCAGAAATACTGCAAAGACCTAGCAAATACGAAGCTGGACCTCAGAAATGCTGCCAATAGCTTGCAAATAGAAGGGAAGGGGGGCTGCTACCTGGGGACCCAACCCATGGGGGGGGGGGGGGGGGGGGGAGAGAGAGACGGAGGACGGGACCATATATATACACACACACGCATATCCCCACTTTTAGCCGTTTTATGGGGAAACTGATGATAATCCATTGGATTACCCTACTTTTGGACAACCCCCAATCCATGTTCATTCCTCCGAAATTCTGAACCAGATTTGACTTGGAATTGGTGCACACTTCAGGCTGAACTCAAGTATGATGTAGAAGAAGTGCAAGAAGGAGAGGGAGCACACGGAGGGTGTCATGTACAGCAGCACAGTACAATTATACAGTAGATCACAAGTTGGTCCTGACATGAAGATGCTAAGATGCATGACAAGATCATGAGGATATCAAGCGACGATTACAATTCTTCCTCTAGGAGGCGGGGTCAGTGCTCTATGTTCAGCCTTGCATGCATTCCTTGCGGCGGGCAGAGCTTTCAGGACAAGTCATCGCAGGCTATCCATCGCAAAGAAAACAGGCTCGGGCATTGACGATCAAACTAAGATAGCAATTTTAAGATAGTGTGATCATGAGCGACATCCAATATTTTCTGCATGTTTCTGAAACAGGTTGTGTTTTTTTTCTGCATGTTTTTTTGCTTTGCAGGAAGCCGAGATATCGGCAGCGGATGTCACAATCCAATGGTTGCAGCAGGAGGCATTGGAACCGGGTCCAACAGTGTGTTCTCCTTGTCAAATGGCCTTGTCCAAAAATGGGGGATACCGGGATACCGGGATATTACAGCGCTACTTACATTCCTGGCTTTGTTATAAGGAGTTAACATAATTAACTTGAGTTAGCTAACTTTTATATATTTTTGCTAACTCTAGCTAACTAGTTATAACTTTTTTTGGCTATGTAAAAAAAGGGCTTAATTCTTGTGTTCAGGGCTACAACAAAAGGCATGCAATAGCAAAGAAAATGCTTCTTGTTTTCTTTTTTTGTTTCCAAAATCAATTGAAAGCACATACCAACTGAATAATCCATGACTTGATGGCCAACATGGCCTTTGCAAAAGGTACATGGCCTAGAAGGCCTTTGCCCAAGAGACAGCTATAGAATGGCCAAACATGGCCTTTGCAAAAAATACAGTGAGCAACTTTTTTCTGTCCCCAAAGCATTTGTGATTAGCTTTTGGAAGCTTTGGCATAGAGTGGATAAGGAAGCAGCACTTTGGCTCCATCATTGCCTTTGGCAAAAGTCACTGGAAACAGGATGCTGCTCAAGGAAATAAACCCATATTGGCTGGAGACATTGCACTTGACATATTGCTTGTCCAGATGGTATTCTTGGATCTCCCACACCTGGACCAAAGTTGCTTGGGTGCCACAAATTTGCACATGGAATTGGACTTGTGCAATTCTCCATTCTGAACCTTTTTGGTAAATAATGACATCTTCATTGAAAATTTGTCCTCCTTGGGCAAGTCTTGCACACATGGAAGAAAATGCATCTTCACAAGGCCCAAGCAAGAAAATGGAAATTATGTCTTTTTGCTTTTGGGTTGCCTTCTTGGGTTTCACCAATGTGGCTGCATTTGGAAAAACATTTTCTTGTTGCAATGCCATGATTTCATTGGATACCACCTGCTGGAGCAAATTGATTTCATATCCTTGGGTATGCTGCAATCTGGTGGCAAAAGAGCTGATAGTTTTGTGCTTGCGCTCACAAGTAAAGCAAGATGGCAAGTGGCCATACCTGGCATAGGAGTCTGGAAGGTGCAAATGCCAATGCCACTTCTTTATCATGCCCACTGTGGGGAATGCATGGGCAAAAGCTTGGTTTCCAGCTTCAATGGCTTCCAGCAAGGAAGCTCTTGTGGTTACTTTCCATTGTGTACCACCATGGCACTGATCAATAATTTCTGCCATGGTGCAGAATGCCTGGCAAGCCTCTGGGCAAAGTTTTCGCGGTTCCAAGTGCACATGGATCAAATGCCTCACAATTGGATAAATGGCCAGAATTTCACTTGCCAAGCAAGAAAATTTGTTGGCTTTCCTGAACTTCTCCACCTTCTTCTTGGTGAACAAGGAATGGACATGGCTGGCTTTCCATGCTTTGGGAAATTGGAACCTTTGGAAATATTCCTCCAAGAAGTTGTAGATGTCCATGTGAGCAAATATGGCTTCCAATGTATGGTACAACACAATGGGTGCAGTGCCTTGCAGCACTCCATGCATCTAGTCATGGCAAAATTGTGAAATGGGCTTCAGCACTTGTGCTGCAAGCAGCTTGGCATTCAACAAAAGAGCATGCTTTGAGAAAGTGATGCCTGTGGCTACCTGCCATGTGGCAAAATCTTGTTTGGAACAAGTCCCATGCCTGACTGCCATCCTCTGGTAGCTGGCCAGAAGCTCTTCATCTTGTACCAGCTGCAACTCATGGTATTTCAGTGGCTGTGTGTAAGCCTCTTCTTGGTCTTGGTCTTGCTTGGGTGGATGGCTCCTCACATTGGAACACATCAGGCAGAATTTCTGGCCAGAATCACCTTTGCTGGCCCACACCTGCTTGTGAGCAGCTCCATCACACAACATCATTTTGAAGTTTAGGAATATTGTGACATCCCCTGTGGAACTTTTCAAGGTGAATCCAACCTTTGGGTTCGCAATTGGGCAACAAAAGATGCTGGTGAGGATGGTGGCAACCATTTGGCTGATGCCACCATTGACAGTGGATACGAATGAGCTTCTCTCCACTGCCAATGTCAGCCAAGAGTCTTCCTGGTGCATGTGGATGCCAAAGGCATCAATGGTGCTGTATATGCACCAGGTTTTTCTTTCA